AGATTAATAATTTTTGTTACAAACCCCCCTTAAGTCAAATGTCTTTTTATTTTCACCGTGCGTGCAACTGTGATCCATTCACTAGCAAGTTTACTTACGACTGTAGGTTTCAGCACAATTTTGATATTGACTCCACTTAATAACTCAATAACAGACTCTGGGGGAGAGGAATGAAAGGGCAGGGGAAAGGGCAGGGGGAAAGATTTTCAGCAGATGAATGCAGGGAGAGGTCACGAGAACGCGCTGTTGTTTTGAGTTATTTCCATCTTAGGTGGATGATTCACTGTGGCACGTCATTAACCTGTTATGTAGCAGTGGTGTGCACAGCCTGAGAAACAAGGCCTTTGGGTTCAATGGGTTTTTCTGACTCATTGATGTCACATTTCAAGACTTTATTTTAGTGCTTTTCCAAATTTAAGGGTTCAGGAGAATGAATCAATGGCAATATTCTTGTTACTCAAATTATCTTTGGTTCCTATAAGCTTATTGTAATGCTGGTTGGCAGTTTTGAGGTCAGCAAACAAATCTATATTTATTCTTATAAAATGGATTACTCTCATAAAAAAATCTGAAATGTGTTAACACCAATAATTACTCTTAACTTTTTCTGTTAATAGTAATTCATCTGAAGGATTCCTTTATTTTCTCACATTATTGTACTCAGGAAGAAATTCACGTGAGCAGTTCTGGAATTTTATTATTTATTCCAAGAATTACCCCTTATTAAAATAATAACTTAAAAACCCATGACAAGATTTTTAATACCATATTAGTTGTTTTGGGAGACAGTTTGTGAAACCATAGAGATAATGTCTACTTAAATACTTTCTGCCATTTTGTAGGAATTTTTTTTTTTTTTTTTTTTTTGAGAGAGTCTCACTGTGTCACCCAGGCTGGACTTTGGTGGCACCATCATAGCTCACTGCAGCCTCGACCTCCTGGGCTCAAGCCATCATCCCGTCTCAGCCTCCTGAGTAGCTGGGACTACAGGCACGTGCCCCCACACCCGGCTCATTTTTTAATTTTTTGTAGAGAAGTCTCTCTATGTTGTCCAGGCTGGTTTCAAACTCCTGGCCTCAAGCACTCCTCTCCCCTCGGCCTTCCAAAGTGCTGGGATAACAGGCATGAGTCACCATGCCCAGCCTTGTAGGACATTTAAAGAAAGGAGGATATGATTCAGATACTCTGTAAGCAACTGTGTGGGGATAAAACCCCATGGAAAAGATTCCTCATGCTGACTTCCCTCCTGAAACAGGGGCGGCGCCCACCTGCAGCCATCTTCCTCTCTTCTAGCTGCCATAAACACTTTTTTAATCCCAACAATACACACAAAATAGGCCAAGTATCTTCTATCATCCTTCACTGATGCTGTGTTTGATTCCTCTCTGACTTTCCCTGCACACATAGACCTAGACCTTTGTTTTCTTTCTCACCTGTTGCTTCTATACCTGGGTGCTCACCTGTCAGCTCTGTGTGGTCTGACCTTCAGCATTCACTGAGTGGCTTCCTTGGATTCAAACACACACCTCCTTGTCCCACGTGTATGTACACCTGATTCTTTGGGATGCATTTGCTACTAGGAAATGTGCTAGTTCGATGGAATCTAGACCTCTCTTAACTAAAGACCTCTTCTTGTCCCCTCCCAGTGACTCCTGGCCAACACAGTTTTACAATTTCCTGTGCTCCTGCAAGACACCTCCTACACTGGATGCCAGATAGGGCACTAGAGAAAATGAATGCATCTCATAGCAATTCAAGCATCCGTCCTCCAAAATAAAACATGCAAAACTTAAACCTCGAAATGACCATGCAATACCCTCAGTGACCCGCAGCTCAGGGTAGCTTTTGTGTTTCTCACGAGGGAGAGACTAGAAGGAGGGCAAAAGAAAAGCCACTGCAGGGGGCAGAAAATTCAGATGGAAAATGTTTTCAGTCCTGTTCGGCGAGGGTGATAAGGTTATGTAGGAGAAGAAAATAATTTTTTTCTTCTTAAAATAGGGAGAGGGGGAAATATACGATGGAAAAATTAAGCAAGAAGATTTCATTATGTCAGATTTCCTAAGTGATAAACCCAAGATAATTGTTGAAGATAATTTGGGAAGATTAAGTGCTAGCTTTGCAGGGTGGATATTTGGAGGATATGCACTGATTCACCCAAAATGATTTTACAGCCTCATCTGTTCTGATTGCTCAGCGTCAATGCTATCCTGGGTGCTAAATGTTGCTAATAGCAACTCTGTTGCTCTTGCAACAGAGTTAGTGGCAGATAAATATTACTGTTATCGTCATCATCATCATTTACATCACTTCACTTTTAAGAATTGTGATATCTTAAAAATCATTTGGCCGGGTGTGGTGGCTCACGCCTGTAATCCCAACACTTTGGGAGGCCTGGGTGGGTGGATCACTTGAGGTCAGGAGTTCAAGAATAGCCTGGCCAACATCATGAAACCCCATCTCTACTAAAAACACAAAAATTAGCCAGGCATGGTGGCGGGTGCCTGTAATACTAGCTACTCAGGAGGCTGAGGCAGGAGAATTTCTTGAACCCAGGAGGCAGAGGTTGCAGTGAGCTGAGATCAAGCCATTGCACTCCAGCCTGGGAGACAGAGTGAGACTCTGTCTCAAAAATAAAAGAAGGAGGAGGAGGAGGAGGAAGAGAAGGAGGAGAAGGAGAAGGAGAAGGGGAAGGAGGTCATTTGAGTCATTTTTAAGAAAGCAAAGTTAGTGTGACAAAGTTTGTTTCATAGACATATTTAATAAAGGACTAAGACACCCTGATAACTAAAGCTATTAAAAATAAAAATATGCGACTGCTAAAGTATTAAAGTCACTTAAAGGGTGAACTACAAGTTTTCAAGATAGTTTATTCAAGGAAAGGTAGATTTGCCTCAACTTGGCCTATTTCAGCCAAGTAGTTTATTTTAAATACACACACGAAGGGATAATAGTATTATGGTTATGATTTTGAAAGTATCTTTATCGGCCAGGCGTGGTGGCTGACACCTGTAATCCCAGCATTTTGGGAGACTGAGGCAGGCGGATCACCTGAGGTCAGGAGTTTCAGAACACCCTGGCCAACATGACGAAACCCCGTCTCTACTAAAAATACAAAAATTAGCCAGGTGTGGTGGGACATGCCTGTAATTCCAGCTACTCAGGAGGCTGAGGCACGAGAATTGCTTTAACCTGGGAGGTGGAAGTTGCAGTGGCGTGAGATGGCACCACTGCACTCCAGGCTGGGCAACAAGAGCAAAACTCCATCTCAAAAAAAAAAAAAAAAAGAAAAGAAAAAAGAAATAAAGTATCTTTAGCTTTTAGTACTGCATGTTGAAATATTTGTGGAAAAATAATATTTGCTTTAAAATATCTGTTGTAGGAAGATATAAATGGAAAAAGATCAGTCCAGTTGAAAATTATTAAAGCTGGACAATGTGTACATGAAAATCATTATTCTCTCTGCTTTTGTATATATTTTTAATTTCCAAATTAAAAGAATGACATAAATATGCATGCATGTACATATTCAAGTAAATATTGTGATTTGGCTTAAATATTACATACTGATTCTCTAAACCCACCAGACTTCTAAGTATGAGCTATAATTGGCATTAATCTTACAGTGTTTTAGAGCATTTTGAAATGTCCTTAGAGGCTGAGCAAGGTGGCTCAATCCTGTAATCCCAGCACTTTGGGAGGTCGAGGCGAGTAGATCACCCTCAGGTGAGGTCAGGAGTTTGAGACCAGCCTGGCCAACATGATGAAACCCCATCTCTACTAAAAATACAATAATTAACCAGGCGTGGTGGCGGGTGCCTGTCATCCCAGCTACTCAGGAGGCTGAGGAAGGAGAATTGCTTTAACCTGAGAGATGGAGGCTGGAGTGAGCTGAGATCGTGCCACCACACTCCAACCTGTGTGACAGAGCAAGACTCTGTCTAAAAAAAAAAAAAAGAAAAGAAAAGAAAAAAGAAATGCCCTTAGAAATGGTCTGCAACAAATTCCTCATGTTACAGATGAAACAATTGATTACCGTTGCCAAACTACATACTGCTAGTTAGTGGCCAAAGGACTAGTAATGTCTCCTAACTTCCCAATTTAGCCTTGCCAAAAATGTCAGGAAACAGAGCAGCCAGTTGCGACTCACAGTGCATCCCACCCTATTTTGTCGCAAACTTTTCCGCTTCTTGGGCAATTGCTTCATTTGGTTTAGGCAAAGAAAGTTGAAAATGTAAAAACATGTTTTCTTTCTATCTCTTTTCACTTGACAGGGTGGCCATTTAAGTTCTAAGTGTTTGTCCACTAGTACTTCTAAATAAATGTACTAAAAACTATTATTTCAGAAATATCTTTTGAAAGCAGGAAATTGTTGGGTAAATATGCTTAATCACTCCTCACATCATTTTCATGTAAGTTTGTTTTTTTTTTTTTTTTTTTTTTTTTTGAGACGGAGTCTCGCTCTGTCCCCCAGGCTAGAGTGTAGTGGCGCGATCTCGGCTCACTGCAACCTTTGCCTCCTGGGTTCAAGCAATTTTCCTGCCTCAGCCTCCCAAGTAGCTGGGACTACAGGCGCCCGCCACCACACCCAGGTAATTTTTGTATTTTTAGTACAGATGAGGTTTCACCATATTGGCCAGGCTGGTCTCGAACTCCTGACCTCGGGTGATCCGCCTGTCTCGGCCTCCCCTAGTGCTGGGATTACAGGCATGAGGCACCATGCCCAGCCTGTTTCTTTGGCCCCAAAAAGACTAGTTTAGCCTGGAAAATTACAACTGTGGCTCTGAGGCGTTCCCCAAGGTTTGGCACAATCTTAGATCAAGCGGATTGGATAGAAGCCAGGCATGAAATTTCAGGCTAACATGAGCCTTCCTCTCAGTAGAGTCCTCTCCCAACTTAGCTGCCCACGGATGGGGCTCTTAGGGGAAAGAGAGGGATGCAAAGAGTATCCTAGGATCTGGCTTTTATGAGACTGCTAATATCTCAGTTTCTTCCTTTTTCAGATGGGTGAGTCAAGTGAAGACATAGACCAAATGTTCAGCACTTTGCTGGGAGAGATGGATCTTCTGACTCAGGTAAACTTCCCTTTTTAACTGGCAAATTAGAAAACAAAAATAGAGTTGCTGAATTTCATTATAACATGACAAGGGAGCTGTCTTTTTTAAAACCCTGAAGATTGGCAACATTATATAGTTCTGATATAATATAACTGTGACAATGACAGATTAAAAAAAAAAAAGTTTGTTCCTGACTATACACTTTTGAGATCAGTTAGTTTAATACATTGATCAGACATACATCAAACTTGTAGTATCCAAATATTTACCAATAGAGAAATTTACCCCCAAGTTTACTACCCTACAACCACCAGCACTGAGCCATTTGCCTGTGGTTACCTTTATATAAACTCACTAGGAAAATATTATCTTTGTTTGATTTTGGGGTGTTTTTGAGACAGAGTCTCACTCTGTTGCTTAGGCTGGAGGGCAGTGGCACAATCATGGTTCACTGGAGCCTCAACCTCGTGGGCTCAAGTGATCCTCTGGCCTCAGCCTCCCAAGTAGCAGGGACTACAGGTGCACGCCACCACACCCAGCTAATTTTTTTTTTTTTTGTAGAGATGAGATCTCACTATGTTGCCCAGGCTGGATATCATCTTTAGTAAAGACTTTTTACCAACCCTTGAGGAAATGCTATATTTTAAATAACTAAGGGGGAGTTTTGGTGCCTCGTGATTAGACTGTAAGAACTTAGTACCCTCAAAGGAATGTGAAAACCACTCAGCCATAGACATAAAAAAGCCCCTGGCATCAAGATCAGATTGACTCAGAGGTCACTGAGCCCCACTGTCGGCGCCACTACAGCCAGGCAGCTGCTAACCCAGGGGCCACTAAGCCAGGTTACAGTCAGGTGCTAACCCAGGGGCCACTAAGCCAGGTTACAGTCAGCTGCTAACCCAGGGGCCACTAAGCCAGGTTACAGTCAGCTGCTAACCCAGCGACCACTAAGCCAGGTTACAGTCAAGTGGGCTTTAGAGCGTCTCAGAGTGTGCTCGTAAATGAGCCTTTGACTAAGAAGGTAACCAGCTCATCACTTTGCTGCATAAAATGTCAAAAGAAGAATAAGCCAGTATTCCTAAATCAGATAGGGGTCTTCTAAAGCTTTCTTAAAAAAAAACCAAATGAATAGTCTGTGTTTTGAAAGACTATTTATTTTAGGAAAAATAAACCAATTCTAGACTGGGCGCAGTGGCTCACACCTGTATTCCCAGCACTTTGGGAGGTTGAGGCGGGCAGATCACAGGTCAGGAGTTCGAGACCAGGCTGACCAATATGGTGAAACCCCATCTCTACTAAAAACACAAAAATTAGCCGAGCCTGGTGGCAGGTGTTTGTAATCCCAGCTACTCAAGAGGCTGAGGCAGGAGAATCATTTGAACCCAGGAGCAGAGGTTACGGTGAGCCAAGATTGTGCCATTGCACTCCAGCCTGGGCAACAGAGTGAGACTGTCTCAATAAAAACAAAAATAAAAAATAAACCGATTCTATTAGCATCTACTTTATATTCCCAATAAGATTCAGAAAAGTTTAGATTCTATGAAAGAAGGGATAAGATACAAGACAGTTGGCTTAGAGGAAAGGGTGCTGGTTAAAAGGTGTTAGGATGACAACCACATTTCTTTCTTTCTTTCTTTCTTTCTTTTCTTTCTTTTCTTTCTTTCTTTCTTTCTCACTCTCATTCTTTCTCTCTCTTTCTTTCTTTCTTTCTTTCTTTCTCACTCTCATTCTTTCTCTCTCTTTCTTTCTTTCTTTCTCACTCTCATTCTTTCTCTCTCTTTCTTTCTTTCTTTCTTTCTTTCGTTTCTTTCTTTTCTTTTTTCTTTCTTTCTTCTTTCTTTCTCTCTCTCTCTCTCTCTCCTCTTCTCTTCTTCCTTTCCTCTTTCCTTCCTCCTTTCTTCTTTCTTTTCTTTTTTTTTTTTGTTGAGACGGAGTGGTTCACCGCGCTCTTCAGCAAGACTTGGTGCCCAGTGACACAATCCGTCCACCGCAACCTCCGTCTCCCAAGTTCAAGCGATTCTCCTCTCTCATCCACCCCGCCCCCGCCCCCGCCCCCCAGATTATCTGGGATTACAGGTGCATGCCACCACACCCAGCTAATTTTTGTATTTTTAGTAGAGAAGGGGTTTCACCATGTTGGCCCGGATGGTCTCTATCTCCTGACATCGTGATCTGTCCACCTTGGCCTCCCAAAGTGCTGGGATTACAGTTGTGAGCCGATGGCAACCACATTTCTAAAGATGAGGACTGTGTTTTCTCCTCCCATGGCGGAGGAAAGTTTAAGGGAACGTGTGTGGTCTCTCTGTACCCGTTCTCTCATTCCTGCAGCCAGTGGGGGAAGTGTTCTGATGGGCCAGAGTCTGGGATTTTTGTAGGACCACATTTAAGTATTGTTACTGTAAGGCAAGAACAGGAAAGAGGCTGGGCATGATGGTTCACACCTGTAATCCCAGCACTTTGGGAGGCCAAGACAGGAGGCTCACTTGAGCCCAGGAGTTAAAGACCAGCCTGGGCAACGTAGTAAGACTCATTTTTATTTAAAAAAAAAAAAAAAAAAAAGGAATAGGAAAAGGCCCCTTTTAGTCTCTTGGACCTGCCTTCACACAAAGCCCTTTTGGTTTTTGCTGTTTCTTTGTTGCGGCCAAGTGGATGCAGTCATAGGTTTGCTTGGCTAAACAGCCCTGCCAACAGGTAGGTTCTCAAGATTTTAGGCTAAAGAAGTATTTTACTACAACAGACTGCATCCTCAAACAGTTTGTCTCCTCCAAGTAATTGGATATTTATTTCTTTGATGTCATTACTTAAGTCATTACAGAATTATTTGTATACATGTATATGTATAGTGTGTGTGTTCACCATTACAAGACATTATTTGTTCTTTTTAAAAATTAACTACCTCATTCTCATTGACATGTTCCATTTCAAGATCTTCCTTCTAGAATAATTTTTAAGCTCTAATTTTCTATAGGGGAAAAATTACATAAAACATTTTCAAGTTACAATATGGTTTTCATAGAACATGCTAAGGGTTGGGCCGGGCGCGGTGGCTCAAGCCTGTAATCCCAGCACTTTGGGAGGCCGAGACGGGCGGATCACGAGGCCAGGAGATCGAGACCATCCTGGCTAACACGGTGAAACCCCGTCTCTACTAAAAATACAAAAACTTAGCCGGGCGAGGTGGCAGGCGCCTGTAGTCCCAGCTACTCGGGAGGCTGAGGCAGGAGAATGGCGTGAACCCGGGAGGCGGAGCTTGCAGTGAGCTGAGATCCGGCCACTGCACTCCAGCCTGGGTGACAGAGCGAGACTCCGTCTCAAAAAAAAACATGCTAAGGGAGAAAATGTGTAAATAATACATGGTTTTTGACTTGCTGAGTAAAGTGTGCTACAGAAATGTTTGTATCATGAATAACTTTGACGTGGGTCTTTTTTTCACAGAGTTTAGGAGTTGACACTCTCCCTCCTCCTGACCCTAACCCACCCAGAGCTGAATTTAACTACAGTGTGGGGTTTAAAGATTTAAATGGTAAGCATAACCATTTCTTTTCTTAAGCAATTCAAAATCATGATGATGATTCAAATCAGTATGAAACTATAATTTGAAAACTAAATTAAAGGAACCTAAACATCATGATAAATATCATTGTTAAAATCATGGATTTCAGACTGGGTTTTACTGTGTCTTGATTGAGTTGAGAGAATCAAGAAGATATTTTTGCCAATAACAAAAGGGAACACCATTCTGCATTTGTGAAAAGTCTCAAAATGATCTTGCACTTTAAAGTAAGGGGAGTTTCTTCTTATTACTAAGCCCATAGAGTAACAAGGAGTAGTATATGAAAATATTAATAAGGAAATGACCCTTCAGTGATAGAAATCAACTATTTCATAATGATTAATAAATATGAATGGATACTTCATATTTTATTTAAAATATTTTTAAATTTATATGTAATATATACTTATATGTAATTTAGTCTACTTGACATTTTTTCATTTTTCCTGAACTTGTCACTTTATTTTATTACCAAAAATCTCTCAGCCATGCATGGTGGCTCACGCCTGTGATCCCAACACTTTAGGAGGCCAAGGCGGGAGGACTGCTTGAGCTCAGGAGTTTGAAACCAGCCTGGACAGCATGGCAACACCCCATCTCTACGAAAAATAAAAACAAAATAGCCAAGTGTGGTGGCATGTGCCTGTGGTCTCAGCTGCTTGGGAGGCTGAGGCAGGAAGATCAAGGCTGCAGTGAGCTGTGCTTCTGCCACTGCACTCCACCCTGGGCAACAGAATGAGGTTCTACCTCAAGAAAATAAAAAACAAAACAAAACAAAAACTCTCAGTTTATTTAAGTGGAGACATCTTTAGGCCACATGCTATTCATATTATAATAAGTCTTGAGGCCGGCTACAGTGGCTTAAGCCTGTGATCCCAACACTTTGGGAGGCCAAGGCAGGCAGATCACGAGGTCAGGAGATCGAGACCATCCTGGCTAACACGGTGAAATCCCGTCTGTACAAAAAATACAAAAAATTAGCCGAGTGTGGTGGCAGGCGCCTGTAGTCCCAGCTGCTCGGGAGGCTGAGGCAAGAGAATGGTGTGAACCCAGGAGGTGGAGCTTGCAGTGAGCCAAGATCACACCACTGCACTCCAGCCTGGGTGACAGAGTGAGACTCCATCTCAAAAAAAATAATAATAATAAGCCTTGAAGTAATCACTTTCAAGTTATTGAAAACTCCCTGCAACTCTGGAAGAAGATTTCCCAAAGACTTGCAGTGCCTACCAAAAATGTGAAAAGCAAGATAGGAGAGAAGTTCAATTATAGAAATCCAGAATTCCAAGTTTTATTTCTGTGCTTCTCTGGATTTTTTTTTTTTTTTTTCGGGCAGAGTCTCTCTCTGTCACCCAGGCTGGAGTGCAGTGACGGGATCTCCACTCACTGCAACCTCTGCCCTCTGGGTTCAAGCGATTCTCTTACCTCAGCCTCCCAAGTAGCTGGGACTACAGGCAAGAGCCACCACGCCTGGCTAGTTTTAGTAGAGACGGGGTTTTGCCTTGTTGGCTAGGCTGGTCTCGAGCTCCAGATCTCAGGTGATCCACCTGTTTCAGCCTTCTAAAGTGCTGGAATTACAGGTGTGAGGCATGGCGTCCAACCAGGATTTATCTGTTTCTATCATTTCCAATAATTTTGTAATAAACCATTAGGTTCCAGTGACTGTTTCTTGATAAATTATAATATACCTCTTTTGATTTTCTCTTTTTCCTACACTCTTTTTATTTGCCACACAAATTTATTATTCCTGCCAGTCATTTCCACCAAGATGGTAACATTCATGAAGTTTTTTACAAAAGCAGGCCAGGCATGGTGGCTCACGCCTATAATCCCAGCACTTTGGGAGGCCAATGCTGGTGGATCACTTGAGGTCAGGAGTTCAAGACCAGCCTGGCCAACATGATGAAACCCCATCTCTACTAAAAGTACAAAAATTAGCCAGGCATGGTGGCAGGCACCTGTAATCTCAGCTACTTGGGAGGCTGAGGGACCAAAATCACTGGAACCCAGAAGGTGGAGGTTGCAGTGAGCCAAGATTGCACCACTGCGCTCTAGTCTGGACGACAGAGCAAGACTCTGTCTAAAAGAAAAAGCAAAAAAAAAAAAAAGCAATACATTTTTGTAAAATTATGATTGCAGTAGATAACATACACTTGCACATATGAACAATGCAAATTTAGCCTTTTAGCCTCACTACATCATAACAGCTGCATACTTTATAATCAGTTCAATTAAAATTAAAATTTAATCAATATTTCAATTTAATTGTAGTCATCTCAACTGACGCTTTCTAAGCACTAACTCAGTGCCTGGTATCACAACACTGACAATGATAGGAGCAATGATACCCAGATACCCAGCAAGATATAAACACAGTGATGTTATACTACAGTAATAAGACACTCTTCTCATTAAGGAAACAAGATGTACACATGTGGTCTAATTTGGATACGGGACAAGACAATTAAAAACTACTGCTATGCATGGAAAATTAAATTTGTATGGAATTAGATTAAGAATAGATTTGTTTTATCTTCACTTTAAAACACTGCTAAAATGAGTTCAAAATATTTTGCCCAGGCTGGGTGCGAGCCTGTAATCATGCTTGTAATTCCATCACTTTGGGAGGCCAAGACAGGAGGATCACTTAATCCCAGGAGTTTGAGACAAGTCTGGGCAACATAGTGAGACCACTGTCTCTAAAAAAATTTAAAAATTAGCCAGGCATGCTCGTATGTGCCTGTAGTCCCAGCTACTTGGGAGGCTGAGGTGGGAGGATTGCTTGAACCCATGAGGTCGAGGCTACAGTGAGCTATGATCCTACCACTGCACTGCAGCCTGGGCAACAGAACGAAAGCCTGTTTAAAAAAAAAAAAATTGCCCAAAGTCATTCAGAGAGTCAGTGACTAATTTCAGAATAAAATCTATTTCTATCCCATTCCCCAATTCCATGTTACTCAATTCTATATTCATAAATTTAGCTAATCTTTATTAAAACATTTCATCTCTATTGATAAATTTAGAAATCTTTAATGTATTAAAAATCTATTAACAACTAATATAATAATTCAATTTATTAAATTTGCTTTGGAAATTACTAATATAAATATTATTATGGAGGTTTTGTCACCAAAATTTTTATAATAAAGGTTTATATGTCAACAGTCACAATGTGATTGATTACATTAGAAAATTATAAATATGCTTCTTTAGTTCTATATATATTTTCTCTGAAAATATTTTAAATTAATTTAACTTAATTTTATAAAGAAATTATATATAAGCTGGGCCTGATAGCTCTCGCCTGTAATCTTAGCACTTCAGGAGGCTGAGGCAAGGGGGTCACTTGAGGCCAGGAGTTCGAGACCAGCCTGGTCAACATGGCAAAACCCTGTCTCTACTAAAAATACAAAAATTATCGAGGCAAGGTGGTGCACACCTGTAATCCCAGCTGCTCGGGAGGCTGAGGCAGGAGAATTGCTTGAACCCAAGAGGCAGAGGTTGCAATGAGCTGAGATCATGCCACTGCACTCCAGCCTGGGTGACAAAGCGAGACTCTGTCTCAAAAAAAAAAAAAAAAAAAGAAGAAGTTGTATATAAAAGTGATTTACAGTAAAATAAACTCTTTTAACACATTGAGGAAACCCAAACTTTAGTCCCAGTACTGTAAACTAGCACTACTAGCATTACTGTAATATGCTGCGTGGCGTTTATGATGATGATGTCTGACAATGTATCCTTTCACAAAGCTTATTTGTTACTGAATAGGCTTCATTCCGGCTGCTCCCATTTCCTCAGTCTGGTTCATCATACCTATAGCAGCTAGAATTCTCCTCATGGATCACTTCCTTCCTGCCCATCCTTTGTTCATTATATTCACCATATCATATATGCCTGATCATCAAAGTACTCCACCAGGACTACTCACTGACACCACCTCCACTACACCACATGATCTAATCAATGTTCAGGATCACACAGATTACTCTACCATAGTAATCCCACACATGGAAGAAATCCTAAAGTGATCTCTCCTCCCTCCCTCTCACTCTGAAAATTTTTGTCTTTCCTGTCTTTTAAAAGTTAACTCCCAGCTTACTATCTTCATTAAGTTTCTACCATTTAATCCCATAATTTTTTAATTCCTTGCCACCTATGGTGCTTAATTTCTGCTATTTATCATTAATTGCTCTTGGCTGGGCACAGTGGCTCTTGCCTGTAATCCCAGCACTTTGGGAGGCTGAAGTGGGAAGATCGCTTTAGCCCAGGAGTTTGAGACCAGTCTGGGCAACATGGCGAAACCCTGTCTCTACACAAAATACAAAAATTAGCTGGACCTGGTGGCATGCACCTGTAGTCCCAGCTGCTTGGGAGGCTGAGTTGGGAAGGTCGCTTGAGCCTGGGAGGCAGAGATTGCAGTGAACCGAGATCACAGTATGGCACTCCAGCCTAGGCAATAGAGTGAGACTCTGTCCCAAATAAATAAATAAATAAAAATTTTTTAAAAATTGCTCTTTCTCCGAATGTGAAGTTTTCTACAGTTAGGTGGTGAGCCTATAGAAGCTCCATCTTCACCCCAAAGTAGCAGGCACATTAAACCCCAGTTGGTTGAAATCCAGTTTCTTCTAAATAGCAGCAGTACTCTATTTGCCCTCCAAATGCTTAGGGAAAACTCCCCTTCCATCCATTTCCAATGCTCTCCCCTCCCCTACTTTTCTAAAACTCTGAGATCTTACACTATAATATGCAAGGATTTCCTACTTAAGCATCTATTCGTGGGCTTGGATTTGACTTTATAGCTCGTGTGTCAGGTGCCCCAGTGTAGAGAACACATTTCCTCCATTTATTTTCTTGGTATCAGAAACTCACTCAGATTAACCATGCAACAAATGCAGCAACAGTCCTTTAGGAATTCCTATACTTGTGCTATTGAATTAAAATATTCTCAATCTTCTCATTATATCATAACCAATCAAAATAAGGATTCCTTTCTACTCAAATATTATGCTTAAAAATTATCTTCTTTCTGTTTTTCCAGATGCAAGCAGTTGTTTATACCATTAATGTGATTTTCCCTACTAGAGTCCTTAAATGCACTGGAAGACCAAGACTTAGAGGCTCTCATGGCAGATCTGGTAGCAGACATCAGTGAAGCTGAGCAGAGGACAATCCAGGCACAGAAAGAGTCCTCGCAGAATCAACATCATTCAGCATCTCTACAGGCATCAGATTTTAGTGGTGCAGCCCCTCTTGGCCATGGAACAAATGTTGCTGCCACTGGTATCAGCCAATATGAGGATGACTTACCACCTCCACCAGCTGATCCTGTGTTAGACCTTCCACTGCCGCCACCACCTCCTGAACCTCTCTCTCAGGTAAGTGCATGGCACCAGAGACGGCAGGGCCATCAGCCTCTGCTACCTATCACTGATGTTCTGTGAAGTGATCATTACATTCCAAAGTTTGTGCAGCCAAAGATCTGACATACTAAAAAACCAAGATACAGAGCATGCTCGTTACAAAGCTAGAACACTGCGTAAACAAGCCACATGCGTGTATATCAAGAATGTATTAGGGTCATATTCAGGATTTACTATAGTTTGCTTAAAAAATATTTGTATGCAAACACTCTTTGATAAAACTCAGTCTTTTGGGGAAATGTTTTATTAATATCATATTGAAATGTGGAACTGATTGTATATTTCCGTGTCCCTGCTCCTAGCTCAGTACATAGAGATTGGACGGCATTCATTATACATTTTCTGAGTAGAGTGAAATTGAATTTTGTTGAACTTGGCAGCCCTGTTCAGTAGGACAGGCACATCCAAGTATCACTTGTAATGTCATAGTTGGGGAGGGTGTTACAAAGCAGGCAGGTGATGGGTGCTTGATATTGATAAATTTCTGAATATTGAAAAACAGACAACTGGAAAGTTTAAATTATCATTATTTGGGATATTAACTCATAGTATGTCTCTCATAAAAGTAAAAAGAGCACTTTTAAGGATTTTCTTTATAGAGTAAGCCAAATATTTTAGAGGAGAGTCCAGTTCAATTTCTGCTTCCACAGTTGTCACACTGTGTCATGATGTTTGGTCCTCACAAATAAGAGCCTAGGGACCCTGAAGGTCATACAATGCCTTTTGAATGAACAAATATTGAACATAAATCAAATATTAAATTATACTCTATCACACACAGTGCTCTACTGTGTACTTATTATAGAAAATTTATGTGAAAATGGAGATCAATATAGAACAGAGACTCTTAATGTAGGGTCCATGAAAATTTCGAGGGGGCCGTGCACCCCCTGCAAGTAAACAAAGTACAAAGTTGAATGCACTTGTGAAGCTTTATGGGCTTTCTTAAAGGGGCTTGTGGCTCAAAAAACAATTTGAGAACCACTGCTATAAAAAGATACATGCCTATATTCAAGTAATTAGAATGTAACCAGAACAGCTCCTTTCCGTATCATTATAAATAGAAGAGAGACTTAACTTGCCAAATTCAAAGAACTTTGGGCTCATAAAATACTTCACTCACTTTTCTGCCTGTTTATATGAGCTCGTCAGTGCTCATATGTTTTTTGGTGAATTGTAAGTTTAAATTTCATTCTCTTGGGCCTGGTGCAGTGGCTCACGCCTGTAATCCCAGTACTCTGGGAGGCCAAGGCAGATGGATCACAAGGTCATGAGATGAAGACCATCCTGGCTAACACAGGGAAACCCCATCTCTATAAAAATACAAAAAATTAGCCGGGCGTGGTGGCGGGCACCTGTAGTCCCAGCTACTTGGGAGGCTGAAGCAGGAGAATGGTGTGAACCTGGGAGGCAGAGCTTGCAGTGAGCCGAGATCGCACCACTGCACTCCAGCCTGGGCGACAGAGCAAGATTCCATCTCAAAAAAAAAAAATATATATATATATATATTCAGTGTCTCTTAATCTTTGGGGACATTAAGAACCCCTTTAAGAATCTAATTTAAAAAAATAGAAATCCCCAAAAAGACATCCTGATCCAAAAGTGTGTATATAATTTCTGAGAGTGTTCAAATCCCTGGAGATGTGTCAATCTACAGATTCCTTAGGTCGGATCCCAGTTTGTGGGCCAAGCAGATTTTTGTGATCTAAATATATGAACCACTGTTAAAGTCATCATTTCATCTTTTAAGTTACCATTCCCAAGCTATAAAGAGTGGCTGCCTTCTATATCTTTGAGCTGAAGAATTTTGTTATAGCCATTTAAATTCTGAAAATTGAATGTTTCGGGTGATGGATACCCCATTTATCCAGATGTGATTATTACACATTGTATGTCTTTAAAAAGTAATTAATACATTCTGAAAATCAAGCATGTGAAATTTGGTAACTTTTGCTAACATAAAGTAGCTAAGACACTAGCAATGACAGAAGTGATTACTCACTGGTATTATTTAATGGACTGTAATGAAGAATATCTTGCCCTTTTTCAGGAAGAGGAAGAAGCCCAAGCCAAGGCTGATAAAATTAAGCTGGCGCTGGAAAAACTGAAGGAGGCCAAGGTTAAGAAGGTGAATCATGAATCCCATTTGCATGGGGGCAGTTAAATTAAGGACCTGTGGTTATGCTTAATGATAAAAACAAAATGAAGCCAGGCACGGTGGCTCACACCTGTAATCCCAGCACTTTGGGAGGCCGAGGTGGGTGGATCACGAGGTCAGAAGATCGAGACCGTCCTGGCTAACACGGTGAAACCCCCTCTCTACAAAAATTAAAAAAAATTAGCTGGGTGTGGTGGCAGGTGCCTGTAGTCCCAGCTACTTGAGAGGTTGAGGCAGGAGAATCACTTGAACCCAGGAGGCGGAGGTTGCAGTGAGCTGAGATCGAGCCACTGCACTCCAGCCTGGGAGACTTTGTCTCAAAAAAAAAAAAGAAAGAAAGAAAGAAAGGAAAAAAAAAATGAAAAAAAAAATGTTGAGTGATACTTTCCAAATAGTTGTAATTTTCAAAAACTTTTAAGGATAAAGGTAGAGAACAATTGTTCTTTCTATATCATCAGTTAGCTCACTTGTGATTGATAAATAAGGGATTTGTGTTACTATAAACATAGAGGTTTCCTTGGCTTGTACATGATTTTTTTTTGCTGGCTTATACATGAATTTTCCTGGGAGCTGGAATGGTGGGAGTAGAATTATACCTTCAACAAGAAAGGAAAGGACCTTTGGCTTGGCTGCTGTCCAGGCAGGGGCCCTTTCAGCTCTATCTTAAGAAATTTTAAAACAAGTTTGCACATCCAGGGCTCCCTTCCTTTGAGCCGGCCTCTCCGGGATTTTGCAAAGTTCTGGGTTGATAGCAGGTGGCGCCATCTTTGGGGACTGCCTTAACTGGGTCAGAGCTCAGCTTCTGTTGGCCTGGCCTCCGCTTTTCCGCAATTGCTCTTGTGCCCTTTTCCTATGCCCTGGCGCAGCCGTCAGCCCTGCTGCTGCCCTAGATGTCCAGGTTATCTCCCAGGGTACCAAATGCTGTTTTTGCTGGTGCTCTGGTTTCAAAATAGGTTTTGAGTAATCTGCCCTTAACCCTACTTTCCTAATAAGCCTGTAACTTGATCATGCATGTTTTTTTTACAGAGTATAGGTTTTTGAAGAAGACATGTATTGTATTATAGCAAGAGATACAGCTGCATTTAACCTCACTAGAAGAATATACCTAATGATAATAAAGTGTTAATAATAGTTAGGCTGGGCGCGGTGGCTCACACCTATAATCTTAACACTTTGGGAGGCTGAGGTGGGTGGATCACCTGAGGTCAGGAGTTCAAGACCAGCCTGGCCAACACAGTGAAACCCCGTCTCTACTAAAAGTACAAAAATAAGCTGGATACAGTGGTGTGCACCTGTAATCCCAGCTACTCAGGAGGCTGAAGCAGGATAATCATTTGAGCCCAGAAGGCGGGGGTTGTCGTGAGCTAAGATTGCACCACTGCACTCCAGCCTGGACCGCAGAGCGAGACTCCATCTCAAAAAAACAAAAAATTTAAAAAAATAGTTAATTTGGTAAAGTAAGGGAAAGATGAAACAGTCTTCATCGTGTTTTGTTTCAAGACAGGGTCTTGCTCTATCACCCAAGCTGATCATGGCTCACTGCAGCCTTAAACTCCTGGGGTCAAGCAATCCTCCTCCCTCAGCCTCCTGAGTAGCTGGAACCACAGGCATGTACCACCATGCCCGGCTATTTTTATTTTTTGTAGAGTTGAGGCCTCCCTATGTTGCCTAGGCTGGTCTTGGACTCCTAGGCTCAAGCGAGCCACCCATCTCAGCCTCACAAAGTGCTGGGATTACAGGTATGAGCCACGATGCCTGGCTCTTCATCTGATTTCAACTGCTGAAGCAAATAACATCTCTTGAGACTCATTCAAAATTTTCTGTTGAGAGTTGCATGAATTGTCCTTTTCACATAGGGCTTTACGCTTGCTATTCCCATGGCACCTATCACAGTTCTCTGAATGAAGGCGTTCAATACCTGCCGATGGATGGATATTCAGGAAGTAGTCCTTGGCTGCCCCTGGAGCCAGACTTTCAAGGTTCATCTAGGGGAGTCTTCCCAGATTAGTCTGGTTCCACTCATTCCAAACGTGCCCAAATTTCCTTACCATTTTCTCCGCATTTTCCACAAGTGATTAATTCCACAGTCAGTCTTTGGAACTTCACATCCTCATGTGCCTTGTCCTTTTCTCAAATCTTGGTTAAATTCAACTTTCCTCCTGCTCAGTCCTGGGCGCTCAGTGAGCTACCCTGGTTCAATCACTCTCTCACCTACAAAATCATTTTTTTTTAAGAGACAAGGGTCTCACTCTGTTGCCCAGGTTGGTCTCAAACTCCTGGCATCAAGTGATCCTCCCACCTGGGCCTCCCAAAGTGCTGGGATTACAAGCGTGAGCCACCACACCTGGCCTCAGCTAATGATTTTGTTGCCCGTGTCGCAGGGAAAATAGACGCAGTCAAAACAAAAGTTGCGCAAGCTCCCGCCAAGACATCTACCTATCTACCTGCGTGCATCTCTACCCACATATCCCATATTCTTTCCTTAATGATGGATGAATCATTATGTTTCTGCCGAGGGCCAGCTTCTTCTCTTGGGCTTCTGTCTCTCTTCTTGTCCTCCTCTGCTCAAAAGTCTCTGATGTCTGCCCACCTCACACATGAAGCCAGAATGAATCCTCCCGGTGGCCTCCAGTCCCTGCATGACATGGCGACCAGTCACCTCCCTGGCCTCATCTCCCAGCATTCACTCCTTCATTCCCCTCATTCCAGCTGCTGGTCTCCTGACTGCCCCTCAAGCACTCCAGGCCTGCCCTTGCCTTGGGACCTTGCCGCCCACATCCCCAGTACTCCCAATCCTTCCCCCACTTTAGTGTTCCCCTCAGTGCTTAACACTACCCTATTTGTGTGTGTGGGGGGGGGTGGTGTGTGTGTGTGTCAAGGTCTTGCTCTGTCACCCAGGCTGGAGTGCAGTGGTGCTATCACAGCTCACTGAAGCCTCAAATTCCTGGGCTCAAGTGATCTTACCACCCAGCCTCCCAGGTAGCTCGGACTACAGGTATGCACCACCATGGCCCGCTATTTTTAAAAATTATTTGTAGAGAAAGGGTCTGGCCATGTTGCCCAGGCTGGTCTCAAACTCTTGGCCTCAAGCAATCCTGCCACTTCAGCCTGTCAAAGTGCTAAGATTACAGGCATGTAATAGTGGTTAAAATAGTTAATTTGATAAATTAAGGGAAAGATGAAACGGGCATGTAATCCAGCACTTTGGGAGGCTGAGGTGGGAGGATTGCTTGGCCTGGCCTACTTTACTTATTTGTCCTATGTATTGCCCGTATCCCCTCCCCACCACCCCATAGGATCTTCCCCAGGGATCTTTGTCTCTTTTCCCCACCAATGCATCCCCACCTCTTAGAATAGATGCCAGGATCACACAGAGTTGAATAAGTCAAGTGTGGTCCCTGCTTGTGGAGCGTTAGAGTCTAGTTAGACTCTAGCTCTGAAGAAAATAAACCAGGGAGAAGTGACAGAGAGTACACAGGCAACCCTTCCGGATGGATTTGGTGCCAAGGAGGCCTCTCTGAGCAGGCAGCCCTGGAGGGAAGGCCTCTGGCCAGAAGCAGTTGGATGCACATGGGTGTGGTGCTAGGGGGCATTCCGGGCAGAGGCAATGGAGAGTGAAAGATGGTCCAGCAAGAATGAGCTCCGGGAGGTGGGGAAAAAAGAAAACAACTGAGGACAGAGAGGCAGCCGGGAGACACAGGGTCTCATAGGTCCACGGAGAAGTTTGAGTTGTATTGTAAGTGCAATGGGAAACCATTTGAGGGTTTTAAACAGGGGAGTGTAAGATGAATATATGGCTTTTAAAGGTCATAAAGGGCCAGGCACAGAGGATCACACCTCTACTCTCAACACTTTGGGAGGCCGAGGCAGGAGGATTACTTGAGGCCAGAAGTTAAGATTAGCCTGGGCAACATAGCAAGAGCCCATCTCTACAAAAATAAAAATTGTTTTTCATTAACTGGGCATGGTGGTTCACACATGTAATCCCAGCTACAGGAGGCTGAGGTGGGAGGATCCCTTGAGCCCAGGAGTTCAAGGTTGCAGTGAGCTATGATCACACCACTGCACGTCAGCCTGGGTGGCAGAGCAAGATCCTGTCTCTAAAATAAATAAGCATGGGTCATACTGGCTGCTTTGTGGAAAATGGATTGTAGGGGCAAGGTATGAGAGCAGGATTCTAGCACAAAATCTCACACATGGATAAACGTGTTGATCACACATGGATGGCAGCTGAGGATGAGCTGTGCTGAGTCACTGACTTTACCTCTCAAGATAAAAAGACAAAAGAAAAAGGTAACAGTAAACTTCATAATTAGACTACTTCAAACCCCTGGATTATGTATAAAATATATTATTTATATATTTTCAGAAGCGGAAATGAAAAGAGAAGTTGTTTCTTAGTTTAAAAGATAGAACAACCAGCAGGTTCCATCCATTCGCTTCAGCTGGAGATTAAGAGAACAGAAGGAGAGGGCAGGTATCTTCTGCCATATATCAGAAAGTGAGAGTGTTGCCATGATTTAGTTTAGATGAATTATAATGGTACACACAAAGCACAAGCTGCCTTGATTCAACAAGGAAGATGGAAAACAGAAGCCACTCTGATCACTGAGGAAGGAAAGAAAATTATGAAGACAAGTTATGTATTTGCTCTGATTTCAGACACTCCGAATATATTTGTTCTGTGATGCAGAATATTAAGAAAATAACTGAGACACACTCATGCATTAAGAGAATAACTGCAATGTACTCATGCGTAATCTACAACATGTTTTTAAAGGATAGAAATCAAATCTATCTGTCATACTTTGCCCTCAAGTATTCTGTGGGCTGTTGACATCATTTTGAATTACAAATGATGTACACAGCTTGTGCTACAAAGATTTTGGAACTAGAAACAGAATCAGACTCATGCATTACTTTTATTGTTTTTTTAAAAGCCCTGTGACACCAGAGAACGGTTCCATTTGTAAATTTTATTATAGAAGCAAAAAAACAAAACTGTAAATGACTTAGGTCTAAGATATTTTTGTATTTAGCATCTTGCCAAAAAAGAAGAAATTATAAAAGCTATAAAATCTTTAATGAATTATTTTAATTTTTTCACCCTTGAATCACTTTGCCCCATACCATATAGTATAAATAGGAAAGCATTTAGCTTACTAAATCACATAACTGTGATTTAATGTTATGTGTTGGTATAGAGCTACTCTTTAGCTTGCAAATGTGAGGGAAGCTGTGAAGAATAGTAAATATAATTTCTTCTTGTTAAACATCACAAGACTTCTCTTGGTTGTGTGTGTGTGTGCATGCGTGTGTGTGTGTGTTTTCTAAATTCTATAATTGTGGACATTCGTAAGTACATGTGGATTAACTCTAGTTTCCAATTTCTGCAAAAAGAAACCTTTAATCATCGCCAAATTATGTGGTTTAGTATTTTTTCTCTATATAAATGTTTTTATAGAACATAAAAAACAGCAACACGTGTTTTATTTTCTCAAGAATTCCTAAGCGGGATTGAAATGTAGTCAAACATCATTAATCTTTCCATCAGAAACATTAAATTTTCTAAGCCTTAACATTGGTAGTGTGTCTTAGCACATGTAGCTACTTTACAGCAGTAATTCTCAGCAGAGAGCAGCAAGTACGCCTTCCACAGAAAATAAATCCTAGTAAAGACCGCTATTTGAAGAATTCTTCTTTTTCCATGCAACCCTCCATGACTCATTTCTAAGGTCACATGAATGGATCTTTGACACTGTGTTAGTTGGGCCTACCATTTTATCATCAAAAGACAAATACAGGGAAAAAGCAACTATCCAATTACAGATGTCTGAGTTAGAGATTTTCAAGGGAAAAAAAAAAGGTATTCTTTAGGAAACCCTGGGATAAGGCTCTGATTTAAACGGTCCCTGGAGGAAGAAAGCATTTTGACTGCCCCATGTCTACATTTTGATCTTGGGGGTGTATGTGAATGTTGGAAATAGAAGGTGTTACATGAGTGCTTCAACTTTTGGTTGCTGCCTGCAACTCATCCAAATGGTTACCACCACACACACCCTTCCGTTGCTATCAGTAACTCTGCAGAACCATCTGCAGGAGCTACACTCTTCAATCTGTTAACTATAGAGTGTTAGGAAGGAATGAAGCTACAGCCATACAACCCTGATCATGCTCCATCTCATCTGATCTCAGAAGCTAAACAGGGTCAGGCCTGCTTAGTACTTGGATGGGAGGCAGGAATGGGACAGAACCTGGCTGCTCAGAACCTAATCCAAACTTGTGGAGAGAAAGAAATGTTATCAAATTTATGGTTTCTCTCTCCCTTTTCAGTCCATCTAATCACTTTTTTTAAATAACGATGCGTCTTATTGGTGAATAACCAGGACCAACCATAAGCTCATATGCTACAAATACACAGGTGTCAAAGAAAATCCAAAGCCTAGCTGCATTATTTCACGAATTAATTCTGTTACATTACATGAAAATCAGGGTCTCTCTAACGAATAAGATTTTAGTTGTTGTTGTTGTTTTCTTTCCTTTTTTTTTTTTTTTTTTTTTTTGAGACGGAGTCTCACTCCATCCCCTAGGCTGGAGTGCAGTGCTGCAATCTCAACTCACTGCAACTTCTGCCTCCCAGTTTCAAGAGATTCTCCTGCCTCAGCCTCCTGAGCAGCTGGGATTACAGGCACATGCCACCACACCTGGCTAACTTCTGTATTTTTAGCAGAGACAGGTTTTCATCCTGTTGGTCAGGCTGGTCTTGAACTCCTGACCTCATGATCTGCCCACCTCAGCCTCCCAAAGTGCTGAGATTACAGGCGTGAGCCACCGTACCCAGCTGAATCAGGTGTTTTAATAACTTTGACAAGTTGCCAAGAAAAAGTCAAGGATATTCTGTGTTTTTGTTGAAGATAAGTAAATGCAGCTTCCTCCAAACCTACAGATTTGGAATAAGATTACTATCAATTTTATTGTAAATTTAATTCAATAGAATATTTTGAAAATGGAATAAAAAATAAATTAGGGGCTGGATACGGTGGCTCATGCTTGTAATCCCAGTACTTTAGGAGCGTGAGGCAGGAGAACTGCTTGAGGCCAGGAATTTGAAACCAACATGGGCAACATAGTGAGACTTTGCCTCTACAAAAAAAAATGAACAACAATTAGCTGGGTGTGGTGGTGCACACCTGTGGTCCCAGCCACTCAGGAGGCTGAGGTGGGAGGATCAGTTGAGCTCAGGAGGTCGAGGCTACAGTAACCCAAGATGACACCACTGCACTCCAGCCTAGGCAACAGAGCAAGACCCTGTCACACACACACACAAAACAACCCCAAAATTAGATTCATCATGTGCCTGCAAAACAGCTTATTTCTCAGTCTACATTCATTTCACTTAATCCAGTTCTGATCTCAAATGTGCCCTGCTGTAACTATCTGTCTCTCAGTGGGGTCCCCTCAGTGACACTGTGTTGAGATATGCCCTGTGGACCTTCAAAGAATTGTGGATTAACCAACTTGGTGTCTTCAGACTCTTGGGTTGCATGAAATGGGACTCAACTCCAGCTAAGCAAAAGAGAAGAGTTTATTATAAAGAAACAGGTGGCCGGAGTGCTGGCTTACACCTGTAATCCCAGCGCTTTGGGAGGCCAAGGTGGGTGGATCACCTGAGGTCAGGAGTTCAAGACCAGCCTGGCCAACATGGTGAAACGCCATCTCCACTAAAAATACAAAATTAGCTGGGCATGGTAGCAGGCACCTGTAATCCCAGCTACTAGGAAGACTGAAACAAGAGAATCGCTTGAATCCAGGAAGCAAAGGTTGCAGTGAGCTGAGATCACGCCACTGCACCCCAGCCTGGCCGACAGAGTAAGAATCCGTCTCAAAATAATAATAATAATAATAATAATAATAATAATAATAAAGATACAGGCATAGCTTTTAATCTAGAAAAGTTTCTGGGCTCCAGGATGGAATAAGAAAAGGGAAAGATTATTGGGAAAGAAAGAAGCTAGCACTTTTTTTGTTCTCTTTGTTTTCTGTCTCTGCCACCAGAATGCCCTGTCTCTGAAGGCTAAACAAGGACTTTGTTTATTATCTGTTTTCTCTTTTTGTGAATTGGTTTCTCCACCTCTATAATCCTAGCACCTAAAACAAGTGCCTGGCATGCAAGTGAGTTTAGATGGAGCAAGTTCACCAAACACATTCTCACATAAATTTGCAGAAACAGTAGCAACTTTGAAACCTTTATCTTAGTAGCCTTCTCCAGTTGCTGAAATTTACTGGCTGCCTCATGGTTCTATCCTCAGCTGGTCGTCAAGGTGCACATGGACGACAACAGCACAAAGTCACTGATGGTGGATGAGCGGCAGCTAGCCCGAGATGTTCTGGACAACCTTTTCGAGAAAACTCATTGTGACTGCAATGTAGACTGGTGTCTTTATGAAATCTACCCGGAACTACAAATTGGTAAGTCCCATCCCCAGCAATGGGCTGTACTCCAAAAACCTTGTGGGTTTGCTGTATTACGGGCCTGGGTTTATTCTCTTTTTTTCTCTTTAATTTTACATAAAAAATAGACATGGGGTCTCACTATGCTGCCCAGGCTGATCTCAAACTCCTGCGCTCAAGCAATCCTCCCACCTGGGCCTCCCAAAGTGCTGGGATTACAGGCGTGAGCCACCATGCCTGGCCTGGTTCTTCCTTGAGAAGACTTTGGTTCAAGGCTTTCACTTCCCTTATATGAGATTTAGTGCTCGACTCTTCATTTTGTTGTAGTGAAGAGACTTGGATTCTAGCAGGTGGTGGCCAGACCTTGGGGGATATAAGCATTATTACTGCTGCTTCTCTAGTGGTTCCATTTGGGAAAGAAAGCGACTGGATGATACTGACTAAGATACTGCATGGTTAACAAGCTGAGCAGCTGGCAGGAGAGCCTGGGTATCTATCGGCTAATGCCTCTTTAGTGGTTGCTTCCTTAACCGACCATAACCCTGCCACAGTCTCCCACCAGTGCTCATTTCCCCTTCCTCCCTCCCCACTTGCTTAATCTCTGACACTTTGTCTTGTGGAAGAGGCTCAGCCTCAGAGTGCAAAGAACAATTGGTAGAAATTGGTGGAATTTTTCAAAAGCAGAAAAAAGGTTAACTGAAGATATACTGTTACTTCTCATTTTAGGTAGTGGTGGTGGTGGTGTTGAGACAGGGTTTTGCTCCATTACCAAGGCTACAGTGCAATGACGCAGTCATGGGTCACTGCAGCCTCAGCTCCTGGGCTCAAGCGATCCTCCTGCCTCTGCATCCCGAGTAGCTGGGACTATAGGCACACATATCACATTTCTCATTTTTAATAATGGGACAGTCGTCCCTCAGGAGAGCTGGGTGGGACAGAATTGCCTGTGCTGGAAGCTTTAGGAGCAATTTTTTTTCTGGATAAAATGGTTTACACTAAAACAGTCCCTTGAAGTTGTCTTCAGTTCTATGAGTCAAGGGAAGAAATGAAAGCCTTTCTTTATGTTTTAATTCAAGCATTCACACGTTGCTTTTAGAGTGTTAAGGAGTGATGTTTTAGAGTACACACTGTGACTCTCACAATTTCATTCAAAGTGTTTCACCAGTCATTGACTGACTGTCCACCTCACGTAGAATGTTTGCCACCATCTGGGACTATTTAAGGTAAAAAATGTCAGCATGAAAAGAGTACGTCTCCAGGTACATTGGCATATGCCTGTAGGCCGAGCTACTTGGGAAGGTGAGGCAGGAGGATTGCTTGAGCTCGAGCCTGTGAATAGCCACTGCACTCCAGCCTGGACAACACAGTGAGACCCCATCTCTTAAACAAAATGAAAGAAAAAAGTGTGACAGCTGACCATTGTCACTGTGTTATGGGTTTTTTTGTTTTGTTTTTTTTTTGAGACGGAGTCTCGCTCTGTCGCCCAGGCTGGAGTGCAGTGGCCGGATCTCAGCTCACTGCAAGCTCCGCCTCCCGGGTTCACGCCATTCTCCTGCCTCAGCCTCCCGAGTAGCTGGGACTACAGGCGCCCACCACCTCGCCCGGCTATTTTTTTATATTTTTTTTAGTAGAGACGGGGTTTCACCGTGTTAGCCAGGATGGTCTCGATCTCCTGACCTCGTGATCCACCCGTTTCGGCCTCCCAAAGTGCTGGGATTACAGGCTTGAGCCACCGCGCCCGGCCTGTGTTATGGGTTTTTTCATCTTGTTTTTAATGGAAGATAACTTGAAGACAATGAAAGATAAACATAATAGAAATATTACAGTGTGACATCATGTGAGAATTATTAATAAGAATCCTAGGCACCTGATGAAACTCATGAAGATTAACTCAGTAATAGCTTGTTTCTCACTTGGAACCCCTGATGTCTTGGGTCTGAAAGAATACCTTTTCTTATTTCATCAGAGAGGTTTTTCGAAGACCATGAAAATGTTGTTGAAGTCTTATCAGACTGGACAAGAGACACAGAAAATAAAGTACTATTTTTGCAGAAAGAGGAGAAATATGCTGTATTTAAAAATCCCCAGGTAAGATGACCTGCATATTATTAAACCCTATAAAGTATGAAGGATTTTCTTTTTTGAGACGGAGTCTCACTCTGTCACCCAGGCTGGAGTGCAGTGGCATGATCTTGGCTCACTACAAACTTCGCCTCCCAGGTTCAAGCAATTCTCCTGCCTCAGCCTCCCCAGTAGCTGGGACTACAGGCGTGCACCACCAGGCCCAGCTAACCTTTTGTATTTTTTAGTAGAGACAGGGTTTCACCATGTTGACCAGTAGGGTCTCGATCTCCTGACCTCATGATCTGCCTGCCTCAGCCTCCCAAAGTGCTAGGATTGCAGGCATGAGCTACTGCGCCCGGCCAAGGATTTGTTTTAATGTCACCTGTATACTAACCACACCATTCATTGTCTCACAAAATATCACAAATATATTATTTTCAAATAAACACAGACTCAGCTCTTAAGCTGTATGTAAGTTAACAGCCCTTTGAAGGATTCAGAAAGAGAAGAATCCATTTTGCTTTATTTTCATTCCAAATCCAAAACGTATCTCTCTGCGGTTGTCTGATCCTCTTCTGTCCCTGTTTCCGTGTGGCTGTATTAATCCGATATATCTTCATGCACTCACTGTTGGTTCTTCCTGCTTCCTACTTGAAAGATGCCCTTTTCTTTGTTGTTTGTATTTGGTGCTTATATTTGCCAGGAAAACTAAAATGACCACCTGGAAAATGTGCAAGTTACTGTGATTTCGTTACAAACAATTTGTGCCAGTAAAAAGCATAAATTTATATTTGTTCTTTTTTTCATATTTGTTCACATTTGTTCTTCGTATTTGAAAATGCTTCCTTCAAGTCATGTGTACAAGGATGTCCAGGCTTTTTCCCAACTGAGGCCTCAAGCAACTATAATTGTGTGAGGGTCATTACCTTCTTTTTGAAAATCAAAGAATGTTAAAGGTGAAGAAGTTCCTCTCCATTTTCCAAACACCTTTCCCTTTTACAAGTTTAAAAAAAAAAGTGTCATATCATTAGAGGGAGAATTAGGGCAGCTTCCTTGTGGGAAAATTTATCCTATAAATGCTATTTTCTGGGGTCTTCCTTGGGTTGTATGGTGGCTGACTGACAACAAAGCAATTAAATAGTATTATTTGTGATAAATATCAAGCAAATAAAAATACAAAGTTTTTCCCCCGTAACTATCTTCAACGCCATGCTTTTTTTTTTTTTTTTTTTTGTTGTTGTTGTTAGACAAAGTCTTGCTCTGTTGCCAGGCTAGAGTGCAGTGGCGCAATCTTGGCTCACTGCAACCTCTGCCTCCTGGGTTCAAGCAATTCCCCTCTCTCAGCCTCCCGAGTAGCTGGGATTACAGGCGCATGACACCACCCCTGGCTAATTTTATTTTATTTTATTTTTTTTTTTTTTTTTTTTAGTAGAGATGGGGTTTCACCATGTTGACCAGGATGGTCTCGATCTCCTGACCTCATGATCTGCCTGCCTCGGCCTCCCAAAGTGCTGGGATTACAGGCGTGAGCCACTGCACCCGGCCCAATGCCATGCTTTAACAACTGCATTAGTGAAGGTACCATCTAAGTTGCTGTAGCAAAGAGACTCTTAAATCAGTGGTTCAAACAAGCTACAAGCTTATTTCTCTCTCACACACTGGTCCAGGCACAGGTACACAGGTAGATAGACCTAGTGGAATGGCGCTGCCATTTTCAATATGTGGCTTCCATCTTTGGTTCCATGGTAGCTTTTCTGCCTCGCCATTTTCCAGTCCGTAGGAAGTGAGGGAAGAGCCGGGGAAATGCACATTCAGGCTTATGCCTCCATCCCATTGGCCAGAAGTTAGTTCCATAATGACACTGAGCTACAAGAAAAGCTGAGAAATGTAGTGTCTATCTGAACAACCATATGCACAGCTAAAACTAGGGAGTTACATTCAGGGCCACCACTTTGCATAACTCTTCCATGAGGCACCTTTCCCCTTGAATCTATAAAAATAATGCTCAGGAGTCATGCAACATGGCTATGCTATTGTATAAGAGAAGGTATAGCTATTGTCTAAGATTAGCTATGGTGGGAGAGTCAGAGATTACCTCCATACCCCTTTAGGCTGGATCAGAGATTACCTCCACATCCCTTTAGACTGGATTTAGAAACCAAATTGACACCAGAGAGATTAACAAGAGAAAAGCATACACATTTTGATCAGTTTTACATCAACATGGGGGTCTTCACAAGAGTCCAAAGTCTAAAGAAGTGGCCGAGGCAAGATGCTTCTATACTTTTTTAACAAAAAACAATAAATTTGAGAAGAAATGACAGAACAAAGAGGATCTGGCTAGGGGCAGTGACGTTTCTAGGGGAGTGTAAACCAGAAAGTCTCTGATAGGTCTCAATCAGTTTAGAAGTTTCTTTTGCCAAGGCTTAAGGACACTCCTAGAAGAAAACAAACAAACAAACAGAATCACAGAAACAGTCTGTGGTCTGTGCCCTTCTCCAAAGATGAATTTCAGGGCTTCAACATTTAAAGAGGATGCCAGGCACGGTGGCTCCCGCCTGTCATCCCAGCACTTTGGGAGGCTGAGGTGGGCGGATCACTTGAGGTCAGGAGTTCGAGACTAGCCTGATCAACATAGTGAAACCCCATCTCTACTAAAAATACAAAACTTAACGGGCATGGTGGTGGACGCCTGTAACCCCAGCTACTTGGGAGGCTGAGGAAGGGAGAATTGCTTGGACCCAGGAGGCAGAGGATGCAGTAAGCCAAGAGAGCACCACTGCACTTCAACCTGGGTGACAGAGCAAGACTCCATCTCAAAAAAAAAAAAAAAAAACGTAAAGGGGAAAAGTCAAGGAGGGGAAAGAGGGAGGGGCATGGTAACGCACATGTTGCAAGAGAAAAAGAGCAGCTAGGGAAAGAGCGAATAACTGTATTCCTCTCCCGCTCAGTAAGTTGGAACTTTACAGAAGATAAGATGAACATAGAATTGCTCCTTGTGGAGATATTTAACCTTTTATTTGTAGCTGTCTGTTTAGGAACAAAAGGGTGCAAGGCAGTGTCTTGCATGACTCAGCTTTCAGCTTACTTTACTCCTTTTGGCAGCACGAACTGGGGTCCCGCGTTTTTATATTCCTTTCACTAAAGGGCGTCACCAGAAGATCTATGGGGGGAGACAAGGGTTACTTTATCTATAGTGGAAGATAGAAGTTCCTTTGTTGAGTGTATTTATTCAGCTCCTTTGCAGCCCAGTTCCCAATCTCTGGTGATAAGGGCTATTTTCTCACCCTGAAACGCTGAGGGCTCCCCTTCAGAGGAATCCTGATGGCTTGCTGCCTGCAGGAAGAGAAGGTCGGCTCACCCTTTCTGGGACCCCGAAGTCTCCAATGTTTTCAACTAGAAGTAATCAGTGCAGCAATCTAGCGTTTTGGGGGATGGCATGTCTTTCAGTCCTTCAGTGGGCATCTGCAGTTTGCCATGGTAACTAATGAATTAGTGCACATACCATAATGGTACACTCTGAATTTTTACAAAGTGAACCACCCACATGAAGATAACAGCATTCAGGGAGTTGCAGCAGCCTTCCTCATGGCTCTTCCAGTCCTTACTCCCCATTACAAAGGTCGTCATGATTCTAGCCTCTATCTCCTTAGCATTTCCTCTTTTTGAACTTTATATATGAAATGGAATTACATCACAGTACTTTTTTCTTTTTGAAACAGGGTCTTGCTCTGTTGCCCAGCCAGATCTTGCAGCAGCGGGATCGTGGCTCACTGCAATCCCTGCCTTGCAGGCTGAAGTGAGCCTCCCACTTCAGCCGCCAGAGTAGCTGGGAACACAGGAGCAGGCCACCACACCCGGCCAAGTTTTGTTTTTGTTTTTTTTAAGAGACAAGCTCTCACCATGTTGCCCAGGTTGGTTTTATTTTGCTTTGCTTTGACTCAACTCTCATTCATGCAACTGCCCACAGCACTAGCTTATTCTTTTTCACCGTTAGTATTCCATTGTGTGACTATACCAAAACCTATTTATCCATTGTCTTGTTGATGGATATTTGATTTGTTTCTAGGGTGGGGCTTTAACCAGTAATGCTGTTGGGAGCATTCTTGTACAGTACATGTCTTTTGTTGGACATGTGTAGACATTTCTCTTGCATATATACCTACGGGTGCAATTGCAGGACCACAGGTTGTGCATATGTTTAGTTTTGTTTTTTTATTTTATTTCATTTTTGAGATTGAGTCTCGCTCTGTCAGCCAGTCTGGAGTACAGTGGTGCAATCTCGGATCACTGCAACTTCTGCCTCCTGGGTTCAAATGATTCTCATGTGTCAGCCTCCTGCGCAGCTGAGATCGCAGGCACCCACCACCATGCCTGGCTAGTTTTTGTATTTTTAGTAGAGACAGGGTTTCACCATGTTGGCCAGACTGGTCTCGAGCTCCACTTCAGCCTGCCTCAGCCTCCCAAAGTGCTGGGATTACAGGCATGAGCCACCGCACCCAGCATTTTTTTTTTTTTTTTAATAAGAGTCCTTCTGTTACCCAGGCTGGAGTGCAGTAGCACAATCTCAGCTCACTGCCACGTCTGCCTCCCTGGCTCAAGTGATTCTCGTGCCTCAGCCTCCCAAGAAGCTGGGAGGCACTCACCACCACACTTGACTACTTTTTGTATTTTTAGTATAGACGGGGTTTCACCATGTTGGCCAGGCTGGGTAATATGTTTAGTTTTAGTAGATACTGCCAAGCAGCTTCCACACAGATTCTATGACTCAGCCTCCCATTAGTATTGTATGAGAATTCCTGTTGTTCCACATCCTTGACAGCCTTTGGTGTTGCCATTAGTTTTTAAATTTAGCCATTCCACGGGTTTGTAGTGGCATCTTCTGTGGTTTTAAGTTGAATTTTCCTGATGCCAGCGATTGTAGCATCTTGTCAAATGTTTGTTATCCATTTGAATACCCATTTTTGCGAAGTGCCTGCTCAAATCCTTTGCCATGATTCCCAGTCTCACCCTAGACTAAGCAT